AATAAAAAATTTCCAATTTCTAATGTCATAAACTCAAGAGGGAAGGTGGGAAGGGAGTAAGTACAATCTATACCAGTGATGGCGAACCTATGACACGTGTGTTAGAGGTGACAGGCGAACTCATTCTTTTGGTTGATTTTTCTTTGTTAAATGGCATTTAAATATATAAAATAAATATCAAAAATATGTCTTTGTTTTACTATGGTTGCAAATATCAAAAAATTTCTATATGTGACACGGCACCAGAGTTAAGTTAGGGTTTTTCAAAATGCTGACACGCAGAGCTCAAAATGTTTGCCATCACTGATCTATACTAATAAAAGGGTACTATGCTAATTAGACTGGACATCTTCTGGACGGCCTTCTGGACAAAGCCACAAAGGTGGGGGCCAAGGTGGTTAGGGGCCAGCAGGCCAGCAGGGGAGGGCAGTTAGAGGCCATCAGGCCAGCAGGGGAGGGCAGTTAAGGGCCATCAGGCTGGCAGGGGAGGACAGTTAGGGGCCATCAGGCCAGCAGGGGATGGAAGGCAGTTAGGGGGCGATCAGGCTGGCAGCGGGGAGCAGTTAGGGGCTGATCAGGCTGGCGGGGTGGAGCAGTTAGGGGGTGATCAGGCCAGCAGGCAGAGACAGTTAGGGGCGATCAGGCTGGCAGGCAGGCGAATGGTTAGGAGCCAGTGGTCCCGGGCTGTGAGGGATATGTCCTGGATTGGAGAGGGTGCAGGACGGGCTGAGGAACCTCCCTATGCACGAATTTCATGCACCAGTCCTCTAGTACACATATATAAATTAGGAAGGAGAAAAATAAGACAGTGGATACCTTTATGACTGAGCCTATATCCTCATCTTTAATGTATAAATTGTATATATTTAAACATATGTTAACACTGACTTCCAGTCAAAATGGCAGTGTAGGTAAATGTGGTTCTCGCATCCTCCTACAACCGCATGAAAATTACAAATAAACTACAGAACAACTATCCTTCAGAATGCCCTGAAATCTAGCTGAATGAAGTCCTACTACAACTAAGGATATAAAGAAGCCACATGGAGACGGGTAGAAGGGGCAGAAAGGCAGAAAAGCTAGTTCCACACCCATGTCTGATGATAAAAATTGGGAGGGATATCTCAGCTGTGGGCTACCCATCCCCACACCAGACATCTGCAACATAGAGTTCCAGTGCCAGGAAGAGAAGTCCCCATAACTTCTGGCTATAAAAACCAGTGGGGATTTTGGCTGAGTGAGATGGAGGCTGCTGGAGTCTCAGGCAGTTCCTCTTAAAGGGCCTGTAAATGGTCTTACCAGGACTCATTTGTTCTGAGCTCCAGCAGTGGGACAGGTGCTCAAACGGCACCAGGGACATACAGGGAAGAACTGAATTATCTGGCATCAGAGTAAGATATGGAGGGGCAGCTGAAAGTGCTAGCAGAGGCCATTATTCCTTTTCTGAGACCCCTATCCCCACAGACCCAGCAGGCAGGTGCCATATCTTCATCTTCCATCAACATGGCTCACATTCTTTGCCCTGCCTCGGTAATTCCCTGAGACCCTGCCCAACCCAACGATTGGGCCCACCCAAGCTGTTTCTAGTGGCATTCCCATACAAATGGCCTGTCTTGGCTCATGCTTCATACTTTCCTAGGATCTCTCAAACAAGCAGTATCTGGTCTCAACATGCCTCAGACCTATCACTAAGTGGCCTCAGGCTCGGAACTAGCAGCAACTGGCCTTGCTTTGCAGCTTGGCCTCACCTGGGCATCTCTAAGCCATGCACAAGTAGCCACCATCTGAAGATTGCTTTGCAGCTCATGCTGGTGGCCCCAGAAAGAACAGAGGCAGTGGCTGACCTTGGTCTGCACCTTCCAGGAGGCCCCACAGCCAGCACTCTCAGTGGACAGCTTCAGACCACATCAAAGCCACACTACCCAACCACCTCGACAAGTAACACACTCAAGGGGAATACTCAGTGGGAACCAGAGCCCTGCTAAGTAAGTCCTGCTCTGTGGGGTGGGCCCCTGCACAGCTAATCCTCCACAGTGGTGGGTGGTAACAGCAAGTCCTTGCAGAAGATTGATCTGGGGATAAATCCCTCCCATTGATGTGCCAACAGTAATCAAGGCTAAACAATATCCCACATAATGTGGTTCGGGGGTGCACCTGGAATGTCCAGCTTGAGTGATCGGGGTCTGTGCCACTGGACCCTACAGGGCACTTACTAAATAAGGCCACTCTACCAAGCCTGGGAGATGTAGCAGATCTACCTAATACACAGAAAAAAATCACAGGGAGTCTACCAAAATAATAAAATGAAAGTTCTGTTCTGTCCCAAATGAAAGAACAGAACTCCAGAAAAAGAATTAAACGAAATGGAGACAAGTAATCTACTAGATGCAGAGTTCAAGACACCGGTTGTAACAGTGGTTCTCAACCTTCCTAATGTCACAACCCTTTAAAAACAGTTTCTCATGTTGTGGTGACCCCCAATTTCATTGTTACAAATTGAACATAATTAAAGCATAGTGATTCATCACAAAACAATATGTAATTATATATGTGTTTAAGCAACCCCTGTGAAAGGGTCGTTCGACCCACAGGTTGAGAACCGCTGGGTTATAAGGATGCTCAATGAAATCAGTGAGAGCTTCAAAAGCATAAAAAGGGACATGGAAATCATAAAAAAGAAGCAGTCAGAAATGATGGATATGCTAACTGAAATGAAGATAACTCACAGGGAATCAACAGTAAATAAAGTGGAGAATCAAATCAGCCATTTGGAATATAAGGAATCAAAAAACCCAATCAGAACAGCAAAAAAACCCAAAAAATCCCTTCTCTCCCCCTCCCCACCCCGCCCCATAATGAGGATAGTGTAAAAAAAAAAAAAAAAGAAAATATAGACAGAAAAATATGAACAGTAAAATGACAGTACATATCTATCAACACTTTAATCTAAAAGAAAAGAAAACAAAACAAAACAAAACAAATGAAGCAGTATAGAAACAGACTTGTAGATACAAAGAACGTTTCGAAGGTTGCCAGATGGGAGGGGTTAGGGAGGATGAATGAAAAAGGGATTAAAAGGTACAAATTAGTTGTTATAGAATAGTCATGGGGATGTAAAGTATAGCATAGGGAATATAATCAATCCACAGGGGTCGCCTAAGACCATCCTGCATATCATATATTTACATTACAATTCATAACAGTAGAAACCTTACAGTTATGAAGTAACAACGAAAATAATTTTATGGTTGGGGGTCACCACAACGTGAGGAACTGTATTAAAGGGTCGCGGCATTATGAAGGTTGAGAACCACTGCTCTAGAACAACTTCAAAGGTACCAACATTTGCATTATGGGAGTGCTGAAAGGAGAAGAGAGAGAGCAAGAAATTAAAAACCCTTTTGAAAAAATGACAGAAAACTCCCCTAATCTAGTAAAAAAAAAACAGACATACAAGTCCAGGAAGTAAAGAGAGCCCCAAATAAGATGAGCCCAAAGAGGCCTACACCAAGACACATCATAATTAAAATACAAAAGGTTAAAGACACAGAATCTTAAAAGCAGCAAGAGAAAAGCAGTTACTTACCTACAAGGGAGTCCTCCCATAAGACTGTCAGCTGATTTCTCAATAGAAACTTTGCAGGCCAGAAGGGAGTGGCAAGAAATATTCAGTTATGAAAGCAAGAACCTACAACCAAGATTTCTCTACCCAGCAAAGCTATCATTTAGAATTGAACAATATATAAAGAGCTTTCCAGACAATTAAAAAGTAAAGGTCATCATCACCAAACCAGTATTACATGAAATGTTAAAGGGTAATATGAAAGAAGAAGAAAAAAGGATAAAAAATGATAATAATAAAAGAAAATATAGCCGAAACCGGTTTGGCTCAGTGGATGGAGCGTCGGCCTGCGGACTGAAGGGTCCCGGGGTCGATTCCGGCACAGGGGATGTGCCTGGGG